CCTGGGTGGCAGCTCTACGCTTACGTACTGAAATCTGAGGAAAGCAAGTCTACCACACATCTGTTCGACCAAAGCCAGTTAATCTGGAACACTGTTGGGTTCAGAGTTTCGGTTTAAAGTGGCTCGCAGTAGTCTGTAGTTTCTGCTTCTAAAAACTCTGATGGCAGCAAACGCCAAATGTGTCATCTGTGACATTTGTGAGGTCGTCTCAAGCACACTCCGTCAGCCTTGTTGCTGTGGAACAACAAAATGTTTAAAAATGTCGCGTTTACCTGGTGATATTCTCATGCGCAAGGCGATCAACAACCCGCTGATGCTGTGCACGGGACAGCAAGAGTAAACGATCGGGAGAATCTTGTTGTCGTTATCGTCCCCTCGTAAGGTTTATTACTAAGATTTCAGCGTTTTCGCTTCGCAACTAAAGCGTGCAGTTTATTTTGTGTGCACTCAAATTGAGTCGAGTCAACCAGCGCCAGCTCTGGCGCCACAGCCTACAGCCAGATTAACCTGTGACACATCTGCACCTACTTCTATGACCACATTGAGTAGAGGCTGAGTGGCTGCACTTACCCCTGGTAAATCCAGATCTACCCACCAACATGTTGCAATGCCAGCAATGTGGATTGTCAAGACTAAAAACAATCAGTAAGTAAAGACAACAGGGATCAATTTTTTCTGTGGCCACATTAAAAACCAGACGCCCAAAATGTATTCCTTAGCCCCTGTTAAATGAGTCCACCCGAACAGTCAGGCGTCAGTGTAGGAGAGCAAAAGTGGAAGAAAGACAAATTTATGTACTTGCGCGTTTGACTCGCTCCATACGACACTCCTGGAGTGTCATGTCATAACAACCAACACGAGCACAGGTGACAGTTCACCTGTGGTGTGTAATTTACTAGGCACGTGTACTTTTACATTCTTTTGTGTGTGTGTTTCCTATTATTATATACGTGTAGTAGGTTTTGCAGTTTGACTGTGAATCATGAGCCTGGTGCTAAATGTTCTATTCTATCTTTTGTGATTTAATGTTTGTTTGTTTTTGTTCATTGCAGTGAACCGAGGATAAACCTGTAGCTGTGGGACCTTTGGTGAGTCGTTTTTACAGCCCCTTTGTTGTACAACCAACTTTATACCTTTGGGGCCGACTGTAGGTCATCTACCTATTAGGGTGATGGTTGCTCCTGCGTAGAGGAGGACACAGCTTAGACTTCGAACTCTCTTTTTTGTTCTTACTTCATGGCTTTAAAAATACATTGAGATATATATCATATATCG